TTTTCTTGTGTTTTTTGGTTGTATGTGGTATAATAATTCCGCATACGTCTTAAATTGCATTCCTTCATCATTTGAAATTGCAATATTAATAGTTCCAACGGTCGTAGAATTGTTTTCAAAATTTTATTCTTTTGTTTAAATTTCTTATTAAATCCCAAGCGTTATCGAACGTCATTTTAAGCCAAAAGGGCATTCAAGCCATTTTCACATTAAAACAACAAAGGAAGTTACTACTTGAAGACTTCAATATTAATCTTTGGGTGTAAGAACGTAAAAAATGTAACGCCCAAAATTAATTACTATATTGAATTTGTAACCCTATAAATTCGATGTTTATTCACCGATTCATACCATCCCAAATACTTGTTTCTTCCCTAACAATCTCAACTTATCTTAAGTTAAACTATCTAGAGATGGAAAACAAATCTCGAATTCTCTTCTCTTTGGTATTAGTCGCAACATTATGTACCACTCATTTGGCAAGGCCAAGTCTAGCCGAGGTGCAACAACCACAACAACTTCCGAATCTTCCCGATATCTTACCTATTGATATCACGAAATGTTGGTCATCTCTCATCAATATCCCGGGATGTTTGATTGAAATCACAACGTCGATCCTCACTGGACATTTTGGACACATCGGTCCTATGTGTTGCAAAGAATTTTCGGCTATAGAAGATAACTGTTTACCGAAGATGTTTCCTATGATTCCATTCTTCCCTCAACTTCTCAAAAACAGCTGTTCGGAAAATGTGGCGGCTCCTCCTACAAACAAGTGAAGCAACGATGAAGTTACCATATGATGTAGTTAGTTGTCGGAGTTTACTTTCTAAAATCTTATTCATGGGTTTTGTGGTTTTAGAATGTTATTTTCAAATAAATAAAATTTAAATTACTTGTGAAAATCTTCATTCATTTTTAATGGTCCTTTTCAAAAAAAAAAAAAATCCTGGCTTTAAACATCGTTTAATGGGAAGTTGTTAAGGATAAGTTCATTTAATCAATGATTAAGTTTTGGTCGAAGCAAAGATTGGATCTGAGATGGAGAAGCTCTTGGAACTTTCATTTAAGGAAGAAAGTGTCAGTTCCTAGTTCTAAGCTAAGGTAAAAGATCGTTTAAGAACCGCTTCATGGTAAATGTAAAATTTTAACCCTATAAACTCCATGTTTCTTCAACTACTCACGCGCCATCCAAAACACTTGTTTCTGTTTCTGTTAAGATTTACTAGCTTCAGTTAAGTTTCATAAATATGGAAAACCGATCTCGAGTTCTCTTTTTCTGTGGTATTAGTCGTGGCTTTATGTGTTACTTGCTCAGTAAGGCCAGGACAAGCCAAAGTGCAGCAATCACAACAATTTCCGAATCTCCCCGCCCGGTTTCCCTATATTACGAAGCGTTAGTCATCTCTCATTAACATCCTGGGATGTCACAACGTCGACTCTTAAGGGACATTTTGGACATATCGGTCCGATGTGTTGGAAGGGGTTTTCTACTATAGAAAATAATTGTTTGCCAAAGATGTTCCTATGATTCCATTCTTTCCTGTTCCTCTAAAAAACAGCTGTTCTAGAAATGCCGAGTGAAGTAATAATGAAGTTACGATATGACGCAGTCCAGTTATTGTTGGTGTTCATACTGAATAAAATTAATTGATATACACTATCCTTGAAGAGTGTTTTAATTCTTTTCTTCGGCAAAATTAGCTCTATTAAATTTTTTTTTTATAAAATCTGAAGCCAAAATGTGCCCCAAAAGGGATATCCATTATCCATAGAAAATAAAAACAACACACACATATATGTAATTTGTTAAAATACGTTCTTATTAAAACTCTCGGACATCTTCAGAATTCAAAAAATGTCTGAATGCATTACATTATTCATTCATAATCAAATTCCAATGAAATGACGTTATCCATATCCATCGACGGTTAGGGTTTCAATAAGTCCAAGAATAAAATTTGGTCCAAGTGGGTGTGTATGCGGCGGTTTGGTTGTACTGGCGCAGAGCATAGGCGCCTTCGGGCCTGATGATCCACCAGCAGTCCACGCATTTCCAGTAATCCCTCCAGAAAATGAAAACCACGATGGTGATTTGGTGGTTGTCCCATTGGAGAGTGCAGCTGCTTAGCGATTGTTTGGCCGTGTTGCAGTAGAACTCCCACCACTCGAACTCCCCCACTTGTAAGTTTCTCACCCCTAAATCTCCCGCTCCTCCTCTGCAATGTATAGTCAAATTCGTCCTCGGAGCCAAGTCGTTTCGCACCTGGATTACGGTTCACCGATTCGGTTAATGACCGAGTAATTGAATACGGTGTTATCATATGATGTAAAACTGATTTATTATGGTTTCTCTAAAACCGAACCGAATCAAATAAAAAAAAATTAAGGGTTTCAAACAGGCCGACCCAGATTTTTTTGGGCCTTTGAAACCGAGCTTGAAGCTCGATCCTGTAAGACTCGTGGTCGGGCTCTGGTCGGAACGATTCGGGCCAGTGGATTAGGTTTTTTCCTTTTTCCATTTGAATTTTATTTTTCACATTTTTTAATAAAAAACTCGAACTTCCAGAGAGATCCGAAATCCATCGAGCGTAACCAGATCAAATCCAAGGTTCGATTTTAAGCCCGATCTAAAAGTCCAATTATTTTCGGGTCTAAAAATTCAAACCGGAACTTGACAATTTTCCACACGAACTCGGGACGGGTTTCGAGTCTTAATCAAAATTGACACCTCTATAAAAAAAAAAAATAATCAAACCCAAATTAATCGAAATAAAATCAAACTAAATAAAGGGCGATGTTTTTTTTTTCGCGTTATCCTTTCCGTATTTTTGTTTGTAGCGACGAATTGAAATCCGAAATAACGACCCTAACCAGAATGTTCCTCCACAGTACGTTATCACGTCCGGTTTGCGCAGCTACGGATGCCACTAATATTGCGAGGAGAAGTGGATACGCATATGAAGTTATGGGTCGCATTTTTCGTTGAACGTGTTTTTGTATAATACATGAATTAGACATAGATAGATATTTATAGATCTCCGTAGAGTTTGGACATTTATTACATTCTCTATGTGGATGACACAAATATGATATTTTCGTTCGAAATAAGCTAATGCAATAATTCATTTGGTCGAACAGAATCTTTGCATAAACTTCCTTTCAAAGCCTTTGAAATCCAACGAACCAAGGCGAAACTACTTCTCTTTTGTATTTTTTCCCTTTTTTTTCCGTTAATTTTCTATGATGAGAAGACTTTGGATTTGATAAAGAAAAAAATAGACATCTTGCCGTTTTTTCCAAAATCCGTATTGCGTACTCGTTCAAGAAACTGTGTCGTTTTGGTAATCAGTAGCTGGATTGTACGTCGGCAATTGTCTCCGCGCGTGATGAACACGGCGAGCAAGGATTGGACGGGATGCTGAATTAGAGCTTTATCAAGAATGCAAAGGTTCCGTTTTCACGCGTAACGTTTTAAGGTTCCAGCCACCGGATATAAAGATTCCGTATCTTACGTCAAATTTGTAGCAAAAATGTGTACTCACTCTTGCGGCTTAAGAAAATACAAAACCCATTAGATCAAGACAACAATTATATCTTTAATTCAATCGCATTATAACATAATATGATGATTGGTCGTACGGTCGCGTCTGTGATATATATTATGAATGCTTTATATAGTGTTGATGTTGTTGCAAATTGGGAAGAGATGCTTATTATTGTTGCCACTGCGAATATTTTTATTTAATATCGAACTACATCCCAAGTATTCATATAACTTTGTGATAATTTATTCTTTATCAAAAAAAAAAAAAAAAAAAACTTAGACGTTTACACTTGTAGTCAACAGCACATTCTAAGGCATTTATCATAAAGGAAGTTACTAATTTCGAAATATTCACTCGCGAGTGTAATTAAGAATTTCGTTCGTTATATATAATTGAGTAACGTGTAACGTTAATTATAACCTTACAATTTTTAACCCTATAAATTCCATGTTTCTTCGGCTATTTCATGTCATCTCAAACACTTTCTTCTTTTTCATTCAAACGCAAGAACTACTTGGGTTAAGCCAGAGAGATGGAAAACAAATCTCGAGTTCTCTTTTCTTTGGTTCTAATAGTCGCATTATGTATCACTCATTTGGTAAGACCATGTGTAGCCGAGGTGCAGCAACCGCAACAACTTCCCAATCTTCCTGGAATCTTACCGATTGATATTACCAAGTGCTGGTCATCTCTCGTCAATATTCCGGGATGTTTGGTGGAGATCACGACATCGATCCTCACGGGACAGTTTGGACATATCGGTCCGTTGTGCTGCAAAGAGTTTTCGGCGATAGAAGATAACTGCTTGCCAAAGATGTTTCCTATGATTCCATTCTTTCCTCAACTTCTCAAAAGCAGTTGTTCAGCGGCGACTCCTCCTTCAAGCAAGTGATCATATGATATAGTCTAGTTGTTATCGTTTTTGTGGTTTTAGATTGTTATATTCAAATGAATAAAACCTAAATTACTTTCGGAGTTCTTCGCTTTTTTTTTATATATCTTTCTGTTCTCTTATTTTATTGTCTTTAACAATTTTTTTTGGTTATAAACGTCGTTAGATAAAAATATTGGAAAATAAAATCAATAGATAAACATCATTTATATATGACATGGGCGTAATGCAAATATAACATAACGGAATTATATGGCGAAATTTCGTTGTTTTAATTGTTTTCTTCGGTTAAATTAGATTTAATATTTTTTTTTTAATAAAAGTCTGATGCTAAAATGTGCCAAAAAAGGGACATCCATAGAGAAAACAACAACACACATACACATGTATATAATTTATTCATAATATATTTATTCCGATATATGAAAACTCCAAACACAGTCTTCAAACATCTTTAGAATTCAAAATCTCTGAATCCATTACATTATCCATTCATAATCAAACTCCGTTGAAGTGTTATTCATGTTCATCCATCCCCCGATCGTTAGTTTGGATTTCAATCAACTCCAGGAATACACTTTCTCCCAAATGGGCTCGTATCCCATGGTTTCGTTGAACTGGCGGCGAAAGTAGGCGCCGTCGGGCTTGATGATCCACAGGCAGTCCACGCATTTCCAGAAATCCCTCGTGAAAGCGAAGGTTAGGATGATGTCGGAGTCGCTGCCCCAGTCGAGAGAGCAAGCGTACGCCGTGTTTCCGAACAAGTTGCAGTAGAACTCCCACTTCGCGATCTCCCCCACTTGTAGATTTCTCGCTCCCAAAGGGAACTGTCCTCCCTTGCACTTTACAGTCAGATTTGTCCCCGGAGCCAAGTCATTTTGCATCTGGATTAGGGTTCACCGATTCCGTTAATGATCGAGGAATTGAAGAGGTGTTATCATATGATATCAAACTGATTTGTTATCGTTTCTCTAAAACCGAACCGAATAAATTGGACTCGAACCCAACCGAATAAAAAAAATAAGGATGTCAAATAGGCCTACCCAGATTCTTTTTTGGGCCTACGAAACCGAGCTTGAAGCCCGGCCCTATAAGACCCTATAATCGGGCTCAGGTCGGAACGAGCAGGCCCAACGGATTAGGGTTGTTTCCTTTCTCCATTAATTTGATTTTTTTTTTTCACAATTTGTTTTTAAAAAAAACTTTCGGTCCGATCCACAATCCGTTGGGCTTAACCGGACCAAATCCAAAGTTTTTTGAGCCCGGTCCAACCCCTTGAAAAACATCACTAAAAGAAAAGAAAAAGAAAGAAAGAAAGGGCGATGATTTTTTCCCCCACATCATCTTTTCCGTATTTTTTTTTGGTAGCGACGAACTGAAACCCGAAATACCGATCCTAACCTGAAAATTCCTCCACAGTGCATTCTCGGTTCCGCGTCCGGCTAGCGCAGCTACGGATGTCACTAATGTTGCGAGGAGAAGTGGATACGCATATGAAGTTATGGGTCGCATTTTCATTGAACGAGTTTTTGTATAATATATGAATTAGACATAGATAGATATTTATAGATCGCCGTAGAGTTTGTACATTTATCGCATTCTCTGTGTGGATGACGCAAATATGACATTTTCATTCGAAATAAGCTAATACAATAATTCATTTGGTCGAACAGAATCTTTGCATAAACTTCCTTTCAAAGCCTTTTAAATCCAACGAACCAAGGCAAAACTACTACTTTTTTGTATTTTTTCCCTTTTATTTCTGTTAATTTTCTATGATGAGAAGACTTTGGATTTGATAAAGAAAAAAATACAGACATCTTGCCGTTTTTTTCAAAATCCGTATTGCGTATAGCTGCTCGTTCCAGAAACTATGTGTCGTTTTGGGAATCCAGTAATTAGATTCTTCTTTGAAGGGTTATTTCTGAAGTATGTATATTCTGAAGACCAATTAGGAATCCACTTAATAAAATAACCGCATTTCTAATAATGCTCTAATTTAAACTCAAGACTTTATTTTGAAAATGAATAATGAAGTTTGAGTCTTAAAAAAGAAAAGAAAAACAGCTCTATTTTTAAGAACTTGGAGAAAACTTCGTAGTTTTAATTTTTTTTAAAACCCATCTGCTTTCAATTAATTATTTTAGACCATCAAATATATATATATATATATATATATATATATATATATTAAAAAATACATTTTCAAAATTATTTTGTTTCAAAATGACGTTGCACTAGAACTTTAAATATTTTTTGTAGTCAAACATTATCCTATAAAAAAAATATCTACGTCATTTTACATTATTATATTAAAAAAGAAAAATTTTAAAAACCCTATTTTTATTTTTTATAATCTATTTTTATATCAAAACTCTATACAAATGATTCAGAAAAAAAATATCCAATCCAAAAATTAGTATGTTAAAGTATATTTTTAAAATTAAAATTTGAAGTTCAAAATTTTAAAAGAATATTCAATATGTTAAAATTCTTTTGTTGATATTGATGATAATTAATAAAATATAAGTATATTTGAAAAAATTATTTATAACTATATAATTATCTAAAAAATCTAATTTTTTAAAATATTTTATTTAAAAATTTTAATTTTTAAAATATATTTTGTATGCCACTTCATCTTAAATTAAATTGAACTTAAAGATTCTCTTTTTTAATTAAAATATACATTTGATGGTTTAAAATAATTAATTGAAAATAAGTGTTTTTTAAGAAATTTAAAAACTATAAGATTTTTTTTAGTTTGCTCCTTTTTAATAGTATTCGATACCATAATTGCCTTCTATAATATTTATTTACTCTTACTAGGTAAAAATCGGCGTGATGTCGCCTGTTATTCTTTTTTTTTAATTCTTAAATTTTTTTTGATATTAATGTTGTAAAAATTATATAGATTATTTACTACATATATAAAATTTTATAAAAACTTAATTATTTTAAATCATTATTCTCTGTATAAGTTCAATGTGTTAATTTGTTATGAGCTCTTCAATCCCGATATTTTTTCCAATCTCTAAAAACAGTTAGTTGAAAGATAGTTAAAATAATATTGTTAAATAATATATATATATATATATATATATATATGTTTTGTTTTGAAAATGATAAAAATTATATATTTGACATGAAACATGTTTATGATGTTGAGTTGTGCATCCATATAAATCTTTGTAAATGATGATGTGTTTACCGTAAGAACACTTGATTCATAAAATAAATCAGTTAACTTAATATAATAATAATAATATTAATTTTTTTAATCTAAATCTATCTAGAGATTTCTTTGAGTTATACTATTTATAGTTAATACGTTTTGGATTTATGCGATAGCTATAACAATTTTTTTGATACTCACCATGTCTATTTGTGAAAAGATCTCTACAGTAAGATCAACCCATACAGTCTCCTTCAACGATTTTACATATAAACGTCATTACTAATATTACATGCGACATCATCAACTTTTTCAGGAGTATTATTTTATAAAATAAATACAAAATTTATTATCAGTTTTATTTTATTTTTTGTAAAATCTTGAAATCACAAATGAAAAATATATCTCACTCGCATAATAACATTAGTTTAAAAAAAAAAAAGCGAAACAAATACTATTGAAATAACCCAAAGTTATAAGTTTCCCAAAATCCATGTGTCCTTTTCAACCAAAAAAAAAACTCATCAGAAAAAATCCGTGTCCACTGGCGATCCATAGACGAATACATATACACATGGATTCCGTACATGATAATTTTGCATATGGTAAAAATGAATTCCGTACATGATAATTTCATTGACACAATAAATCTGGATTTATTGGTCATCAAAATCAGCTCACTGTAAAAATTCATAACTGTCACTTATTATTTAGATCAACATAATCTTTTTGTATCACTATTATTTAGATTAATTTGTAGTTTTTTACTTGTAAATTCTATTCCTATGATTGTGGGACAAATCTCACCGGTAGAATGAGATTGAGTATTAACGCAACAGAAGACGTAAAAGACCCAACAACTTGTGGGCGAGTGGTCAGCAGTTGGGTACAAAGCAATCAGAGGTTGGCGGTTCGATTCCTGGTTGGAGATGGGTTTTTATATGGGTTGCTCCGGTCCTCTGGGAGATGTAGTTGTGTCAATGGCCCGGTGAACTTCCGGATTATAAAAAAAAAAAAAAACAGAACGTAAAGGACAAAGAGCGAGACCGACACTCTCAAGTGAAGAATCCATAGTTGTAACAGCCTTTATTTCTCTTCTTTTTTCGAGGGTTTTCTCGTTCGATACTGATCCGAAATCTTTGAACTGACTGAAAGTTGGCATGCACTTTGACGTCCGCAGCTGTCTATGGCGCTTCCACTGATGCTGGGATCAACCACTTGATCGATCAGTACTTCCACTGATGATGATCGTCCTCCTAGATATCTTCAATTTTCTGCTTCACCACCCTTCGTACAACTGAAAGCAGCGATCAAATCATGACCACCGTACCACATAGAATCAATGTTAACCCGAGGAGAAGAGAGAGAGACATACATTGAACCGGAGGAGCGAGGTGGGCGAGAGAGAAGAACTCGTAAAAGCTGACGAGCTTAGGGCAAGAATGGCTGGCGACCGACTCTTTCTTGGGCTCTCCATTTTCAGCGACGACCGACTCTTTCTTGACGGATATGGAGACGTCGTCCATTCCTTATAATGGGTCATGATTTGATAAATAAAATAAATGTGGTCGCCGATTCCATTTCTTGACAGTTTTTTGTTTTATTCATTTTTTGTTTAATATTTTACCCACTAACTATCAGTTACATGTAATATCATAAATCCCAATTATGTTTTGAAGGCAAATTAAAATTTCCATTATTACCCAACAATTGTTTATTTTTTTTGTACAACAAAGATAAACTTTTTAATGACCGTTTGATGTTTTTTTACACAATAATGCTTTGGATATATACGTTTCTATACATCGAATAATATCACCTATATATATATATATATAAAAAGTTTGGTTCAAAGATTGTGGTGAGGACACGTGGCATCTACATCATCATTCATGTGGCAAAATCCTTTATCCTCATTGGTTAATTTCTTCAACTAACATCTATGTAAACAATACGTCTCTTCACTATACAAAATTTATAACGTATTTTTCCTTTACTAAGTCCTTATAATATTTTGTAACAGTTCATAAATCATTAGTGTCGTTTTTATTATAAAAGAGAAGGAAACGGTCGTCATCACATTAATAACCATATTTAATTTTTTTTATTTAATTTCAAAATATTGTATATTTGTTTTATCTATCATATATTCTTAATATGTGCTTTTTGTAACATGCACGTCATACTGTTTTTGGAGGTTTTCCACAAGTTTGTCATTTTGTTCCTCATGTTTTCAAATGTTTGTTAGCGAGGTTGAGTGAGTTGTTTCAATGGCTAGGAATTAAATTGCAGTGGAAAAATCATTCCGATTGCATAAGAAAGTTTTCGACTGGATTATTCAGAATCTGAAGACCTTGGAGACGAACCATAACAATGAAATATGTATGGCAGGTGAGTTCTTTGACATTTTTTTTTAAAATTCTGTTGTTTGGTTGTTTGTTTGTAAGAAAACCCAGCTTTTGGGTAGATTATTATTGAATTGGTTTTGTATTTTCGAAGATAGTGAATTATAAATTTTGAATTTTTTAATATTAACGAAGAATAAAAATTACAAGTTATATGAATGTGTATATGTGTATATATAGATGTATTTGTGTGTATAACGTATGTGTATATATGTATATCTGTATATCTATGTATGTTCCCTGTATATGAATGTATTCGTATGTATGTGGACGTTACAAATATGCATATATCTCAATACATTTTTTATTTTTTACTTTTGTATATACGTGTATATGCGTAAATGATGCATGTATGTATTCTATAAGTTTTGCGTTTATGTATGTGTATATACGTATATGTATTTATATGTATAAATATGCATGTATATATATATGTGTGTATATGTGTATATGTATGTATATATGTGTGTATATAATTTAACAGGATTACACAAATTCGCTTGGAAATAATATTATTTACCCATATTTCTATGATAAACATACAAATTTTATTATCATTATTAAAACAAATGATAAGTACAATATTGAATTCAGTCAATTCTATATCTCTCATTTAGTTAACAATTAATAATATTATATACATATATTATATGTATGCATATATGTGTATATCGTTTTATTTTATTTTTTAAATATATATATATGTGTTTATGTATATATGTATGTATGCATGCCGTCGTAACAGTTTTTTTTACAAAACTTCTTATTAAAATGTTACTGTAATTAATACAATCTTGCAGCAGATGATGCCGAATGTCCTCTTTTAAAGGTTAGTCAGAGCATACAAAGTGTTCAATCACTTAGCAAAGGGAGGTTGGTGAAAGGTAATATATATTTGCAACCTTACTTGAATAAATATATATATATATATATATATATGATTTGATGTTTTGAAAAGATTTTTTAAATTAAATAATATTTAAATTAAATAAATTAATTTGTTTTAGATTGCATGTTATCACCAAAGATTAATTTGAAAATGGAAGTACAAAACTTAAAATCATGTTATGCTGTAATTAAGAGAAGCGTGTATGCCACTATATCGCTTAAGCATACATTATAATGTTACATATCCAATGATACTATATTTATGATGAAATATCTATATCTATGTTAGATGTATTTTTTGACAGTTTATCGTTTACGACAAAATAATGATTTTGACATTTTTTTACCAAGTAATTTATTTTTTTAAAAAAAATTCTCTATATCTTTATTTATATGGCTATTTTTTCATTGTATGAATGGATTCAATGTTTTTTTTT